GGAGCCCTGAAGCTGGTGGCCCGCCAGCTGTGCACCTGAGCCCCAGGGGCCTGCTCCGGGACCCCCCACCAGTGATAGGCCAGGGCCCACGCCCTGGGGCGGGGCAACTCCCCTGCAGAGGGCCGGTTCCTGGGAGGGTCTCCGCTGAGAGCAGTCTGGAGGCAGAGTGGCTGAAACACAGAGGGGACAAGTTCCTCAAGGAGAACCTGGCGGGAGGAGGGCAGGCAGGCCTGGGGACTGTGCACCCTGGGGTCCCCTTGTTAGCTAGCGACAGTTTCTGCTGTCATTGGAGAAACAGAGCTCACGCCTGGAGGATGTTCGCCCCCCACCCCAGGACCTTCCCCTCTGCCCCACTGTCCAGCCCAAGCGCCCCAAACCTTCCCCTGCGCCTAAGTCCCTGCCCACTGTGGGGCAGGCCCCGGATGAGGGCTGAGCCGGCAGGCTGTAGGGGGGAGAGCAGGCCCCTTCCCTGGGTCCCGATCACCCCTGCTGGAGAAGTGCCATCCCCAGAACTGCCCAGGGGCCCAGGACCCAGGTAGAGGGATGACCGCACTCCCAAGCCCCTGGAGGCCCCTCCCCTCCCCCCTCCAGCCCCAGAGCTTCCAAGAGCCCTAAGGAGGAGGTTCTGACGCTGTCGGTACCAGAAAGGCAGCTTGCGGGAGTTCTGGGGGGGCCATGTGGGTCTGGCACACGGTACTGGCGGAAATGATGTTTGGGACTCAGCTCGGCTAGAACTAGAAGAAAGGAGACTGTCCTCTTGTAGCCGGGGCCACCAAGACAACCCCAGGGCACCAGCCACGTGGCCACCCTATGAGCAGAGCCCCAGACAGACGGCTGAGAGCGGGGAGTTTCCCCAGGAATAAGGAAGTGTGCACAGGGACACGAGGAAAGATGTGGTGGCCAGCCAAACACAAGGTGTGTGCGGGCTGTCATCTTTCCCACAGCAACAAGCAGCTGAAGCCGCGGGTTCTCTTTTTCTCAGATATTCTTCTGGGTCATCTCCCCTCCCTCCCTCCCTCCCATCACCCACCTCAGGTATGTGGCTCTGGCCAGCAATCCTGGCCTTTCAGAGTCGGCCGCAGCACCAGGTTCACGATGGCATGGGTCGGTGCCAGGCCAATCCCCAAACGTGCACCGGAGTCACTGGGGAAAAGCTTTCTTGCTTCTGGACTCGAGCAGAGAGTAGACAGCGTCCGATGTGGGCAACTGAAGGCTGGGAGGGTGAGGAGACCCTGGGCCCCATTAACGAAGACTGAGGCCCTGGATCCAGCCACGCCTGAAACCAAGCCCCTTGGCTTCTCAGTCACGTGAACCAATGTTTCATTTTTGGTTTAAGCGAGCTTGTGTTGCACTTCTGGAGCAAAAGCCTATGAGCATGGTGAAATATGAACAGTGTTACCACTGTACACAGTTGTGGAAGGGAGCTGGGGACGTGGAAATCCAGGAGAAGCTGGAGAAATGTGAGGGAGGGGGGCAATAAGCAGCCCTCCCCAGGCAGGGAGGCAGGTGCCAAGGAGGGAGCTTGCAGGGGAGCTGGGGAGCTGGGAAGGTCCAGTTAGGCAAGCGGGACCATAAGGGGGGCGGATGGAGAGGTCCGTGGAAGGCAGTGGCCCCTTCAGACCCCCTGCCACCGTGAATTTGCAACAAGGGATGCTGGTGGTGGGTAGGGCTGCTGTCGGGAAGGGAAGACCCCTGTCCCCCCAACCCCACCCTTCTGCATCTGTCCAGCTCTCTCCATTTCTGCCCAGGATGGCCTTCACTACTCCTCTGCCACCTTCCAAAGTGCATGCGAACATCCTGGAGTCAAGTCCTGCCTAGAGCTACACAGGGAAGGGACTCCTGGCATTGCACAGTGACACAACCCAAACTACCACACTTAACTTACCAAAGAATCCTCACCTTACAAGTGTCACCTGAGTCACCAGGACCTTCAACTGGCTCACACCCCGGCCACCCTCTTGAACAGCCGAACAGAGGTGGTAGGGGCTACAGAGGCCCCCAGAGGCTAGAGAGCTAGGAGCACAGCTGTCCCCCTTCCCCCCATGTGGGTGCCCGACAGGTGCCACTCCTCCCCTTCGGCTGAGTGGGTTCCTGCCAGAGGCTGCCTGGACTCAGGGACAAGTGCTCCTGTTCCCCAGTGATTGGTGCAGGGAGATCCTCACACCTGAACCCGAGCGCCTTGCCCTACTCCAGGCAGACCCGCAGAGTCTTCACACCTCTTTCCCCCATCACCCCATCACCTACAGAAAACCCTCCAGGTGCAGCCCTGTCCTGAGAGCTGGGGTCTGTCCCACAGCCCTCCCTGGCATGGCTTACACCCCACCTGGACTGGTCCTTTTGCCTGGACCATACCGGTCCAGGTAGGAGGGGGAGGGGCCGTCTCAGCCAGGTGGGGTCCAGCAGGGCCAGCAACTCCCAAGCCCCCTTCCCATCAGCCACCGGCCCACAGCCACGACATACAATGCCCCATCACAAACCTGCTCAATCTTCCCCAGAATGAATTTCTGCAGATGCCTGCTTCTGTCTGCTGGTGGCACCATCATCCACAGCTTGGGCAGACTCTCTGGATGCTTCTACACCACCTCTTGGCCCAGCCTGCTCTTCACAGCTCCTGGCAGCCCCTGCTTTATCCCTGTCACCTGGTGGCTCTCAGGCTGGGACAGCCAGAAGCCCTCTGCAAGCTCCCATAGCCTGGGCCTCCTGGAAACTTCCTTCCATTCTCAGTGAGGCTGAGCTCGTGTCTGCCTTTCTCTTAGGTCGAGCCTCATTGGTTAGATCATTCTCTGCCTGCTTGAAGGCTAAGAACTCAGAATGCACTGCTCTGAAACCCCCCTATGCTCCCAAATTTTACACTGACTCAACCATGGCCACCCTGAGCACCCTCCCTCATTCCCCAGCCTCCCAGCCATCCTATTCCTGAACTGATTCTTCCATGGGATGGACCCACAGTGCCCCTGCAGGCCACTACCCAAACCTTGGCTTCTTGTGACTGCAGGATTCCCGCATGAGAGCTGTTCTGTCCTGCCCTGAGACCTGGACAGGTCCCCAGGGGCTGCTACTAAAGCCACTGTCCGTTTGAGAGCTCTCACTGCCACTGTTTGTGAGCCTTCTTTCTCCTCAAAGAACACCAAAGTTCTCTGTTGCCTGAGGAGACTCACACACCATTTTGGGGGCCACCTCACCCGTGCCTCGGTGAGAGCGCTCAGGGCAAGAATCTGACTGATAAACCACTCACGGCATGCCGTGGCCCGGCAAAACACGGCACAAGGACAGAACCCGAAGCAGCGGCAATTGTTAAACTACTGTGGGAAGGCTTTCCTCTTTGTGGGATCCCCCATGTTGTGTTTGTAATACAAGCAGCAGGGCTGAGTGAGATGGGGGATCCTGCAGTAAAATTCTGCTCTCTCCCACTGCAGCTCACCTCTCGCCATGCCACAGGGCCCTTGTCCAGGCTGGTCCTCCACGTGTCTCAGGGGCCCTGGGAAAGCAACCTCTGTCTGACCTCTGTTCAAAAAAACATCATTCTGGGGCGCCTGGGTGGCTCAGTTGGTTAAGCGACTGCCTTCAGCTCGGGTCATGATCCTGGAGTCCCGGGATTGAGTCCCACATCGGGCTCCCTGCTCAGTGGGGAGTCTGCTTCTCCCTCTGACCCTCTTCCCTCTTGTGCTATCTCTCATTCTCTCTCACTCAAATAAATAAATGAAATCTTTAAAAAAAAAGAAAGAAAGAAAGAAAGAAAACATTATTCTGACACTTCTTAAAACAGTAGGGAAGACTTTATTCAAGACTATTGCAATAGGGGAGAGAGGTTGGCTTCGACTCCAAATACAAAGAGGACAAGAGGGGTTTACAGCCAAGGAGCAGAGTTGGGGGCCAGTGGATGGAAAAGTACTGAGACATCATGGGTAGGGGGTCTTGCTAAAGGCAAGCTAAGATGATCAGACTCTACTTGAGGGATGAAGAACTTAATCAGCTAATGGGGGTGATCAGACATCAGGGGTGGGGGTGATAGGCTTTGCTGAGATGGGGCTGGGCAGGGCACAGGCAGGACAGCGGCTTAGTGAAAAAGAGGCCTTAGAGGATGACTCAAGTGGGGTCTTGTCACCTCCACCAGCTCTGAGATCCCAAATGCCAGTCAATGTAATCTGCACCCCTGGTAATCTTTCATTTCTAAAAGGCTTAATGTGGGGCACCTGGGTGGCTCAGTCGTTAAGCGTCTGCCTTCGGCTTGAGTCATCATCCCGGGGTCCTGGGATCGAGCCCCGCATCGGGCTCCCTGCTCAGCGGGAAGCCTGCTTCTCCCTCTCCCACTCCCCCTGCTTGTGTTCCCTCTCTCACTCTCTCTCTGTCAAATAAGTAAATAAAATCTTAAAAATAAAAATAAAAAAAATAAAAGGCTTAATACTCGAAAGGCCACCTTTCCTTAAATGCTCAAGGGGAGGGAGGGAATCCACACAGCCCCAGGACTGTCCCTGATTTCTTATTTCAACAGTTTAAATCGCAGTTATTCAGGGAGTCAGGAAACTGTGACCTCTATCCTCCAGGCTTGGGGGTTTGGGCTCGGGGCTCAAAGGCTGGGGGCTGGGGTCCTCGAGGGATCGGGGCATGAAAGCTCGGGATTGCGGGGACTCGGAGGCTCGAGGGCTCGGGGGCTCGGGGGGCTCGGGGGCTCGGAGCTCCGGGCTGGGAGCCTTGGGGGCTCGGGGATGGGGGGTTTGAGGATTCGAGGGCTCGGGGGCTCCGGGCTGGGGGCCTCGGGGACTCTGGGGTTCGGGGGCTTGGGGCTCGGTCACGAAGACGGTCCTCACCCGGTCGCAGCAGAACTACGTCAGAGGCCGCATCTCCAAGCCGCACATGCGCCGGACCGGGCGCACAGCCTGAGGGGCGGGGCGGGGCAGGCCGGGGCGGAGCCAACGCCTGAGCGCAAGTTGGGTGGCCTCACTGCGCTCGCGCCGCCCCGCCCCCTCACGGGGTGGCCAATGGGCTCGCAGGACCCGCCCCTGACGACGGGGGCCCCGCCCCCTGGAGACGGCAGCCGCGGAGCCGAGATCCCCCCCGGCTCGCGGGCGGTGGGTCCGGGGAAGGGCCGGGCCCGGGTTTGGGTTCCCGGCGCCCTCCGCCATGAAGCTGACTCGGAAGATGGTCCTGTCCCGGGCCAAGGCCTCGGAGCTGCACAGCGTGCGGAAGCTCAACTGCTGGTGAGGACCCAGAGGCTGGGGCCGTCCCCGCGCGTCCCCCCGCCGCCCGGCACCCGCGCCCGGGCGGAGCGGCCCCGGACCCGCACCTCCGCTCTGGCCGGGGGCGGGAAGGGCCTGCGGAGGAGCCACAGGGCGGTTCGGGGTGGAAGGGAGCAGGTGCCAGGGCCCCACAGCCTGCGGGAGGAACTGCCACAAGCCCAGGTGGCCCTTGCCAAAGATCCTTCCAGAATTTTTACCCCCTCTGGGTTGTGGTGTTTCAGACGCAGGCTCCAAACAGGCTAGCTTTGCTCGAGACAATTGGAATTGCCTTCAAGTCTTGTGGGCCTTCTAGGTAGCATTAGTGGGGCAAACGGTTCCCTTCGGGAAGGGTCTGTTTTCCGACATTGTGGGTCATTGGGAGCCAAGTCGACTAATAAGGGGGGAGACGGAGGGGATTAACACGTTCCTAGTGGGAAAGAAAGAGAGCTGAGGCTCCAGAGTAACGATTCAGGAAACATTTCTGTAACTGAGTCCTGTTGGGAGGGCCTGTCCCCAGGTGCCCCACTCTGGGAGGGGACAGGACAGGATACAGGAGCTGTGGGGTCAGTGCAGGCTCCAAGGTGGGGTGGCCAGGTCTGGCTGGGCCAAGGAAGGACAGACGCACTTCAGGAACTCCTGGAAGATCTACCGCGAGGCTTCACGCACCCCTGTACACACTGGGCAGTGGAGCTGGGGCGGGAGGAACTCAGCCCCCAGTCCGCCTAACTCCTGGGAAGTGTCGCAGACTGACTGCAGTGAGCTCTGCCTGTGGCACTTCATGACGTTCGGCCCTGTCTCTTGTTCCCAATAACGCCCCGCTTTGTTTTGCATGAGGTGGCCAGGCTTTGTCTGAGCAGGGGGAGACAAGGGCCCTGATTCCGGCTCTCCAGCGTTTGTTTCATGAGCTGCATGCTCCACAGCCTTTGAACTGGGCCCCTGACAAGGACTTGCTTGTTTACTGACATCAGTGAGGGACATTGTCCTGCCGTGCCACAGCCTGGAGAATGAATGGCTCTCGTTGTCCTCCAAGTGCGGTGGCTCTCCTGCTCCTCAGTCTGAGAAGCGCCCCTCAAGCGCCGAGCATAGAGAGTTTTGTTGCAAATAGCCCCGCAACAGGTTTTGATGCCTTTGTCAGTCATCTGGACAGGCTGTCCCTGACTCTGTTGCTGACATCATAGAATTTTAGCTTGTAGACTTTGTTATTAATTTTTGGAATTTTTGTTTCTAATATTTTTTTACTCAACTTTACCAGAATTAAAGTATGTATGTCTTTTTTTTTTCCCCTAGGGGCAGCCGCCTCACAGATGTAAGTATTCTGCTGATCATCTCCAAATGCTCTCTGATCCCAAAAGTTGTATCCTGTCCCCCAAGAGGATAGCTGAATTTACAGAACTGCACACATTCAATTCAGCCCCTAATCTGGTACTTGGTTCATTTAGCAGTTTTCGTAATGTGGAACGACTAAGGAAAGAGGTGTTCCAAGTGCCCAGTTTTATTTTGAAGTTCCTTTAAGTGTTCTCCTTTAAGTCGATGGAAGTCTCCATGTCCCAGGTCTCACGGAGGAGGGAGCAGATCCAAAGTTCGGCTGGGGATGAATGTCAGAGAGCTTGCTTTACTTCAGACGTGCACTCTGCCTGGAGGCTTTTTTCATGGGTTCCTGGGCTGTGAGTCACTGAGGAGGTTGCTCACTTCAGCTCCTGCTCTCGGTGGGATCCAGTGTTGTGCTACCCACTCCAGGCCATGGCAGAACGGGATGGGGCCCAGGCTGGGGGTCAGGGAGCAGTGCCCTGAGCTGAGCTGTGGGTCTGTGAACAGATTTCTTTCCCTTTCTCTCTCTCCTAGAATGAATGTCCCTGACTTACACAGGGATCGTGTACCTGTCTTTTCTTTCTTACTTAGTTTTGTCACTTGAACTGTACCTTTCCTTGAAAACAGAGTCAGAAATGCCGCTGAGACAGAGGGCTATCCAGAAAAGCTGAGTCCACCTCACGCTATAACTGAAATGCAGCATATCCAAGCATGCAAAAACAACCCTAAAAAAACAAAAATACCACCGTAGCAGAAAACAAATCCACTGCACATGTGAAGCATTCTAAGCAGACCGTGAGCCTGTTGAGGTCAAGGGTGTCATCTGGCTCGGTGCCTCGTGCATGGCAGGTGCAAAGACACTTGAGGACTGCCCCGCCCATCGGCCTCACAGGTTAGGGGGCCGTTGTGGACCAAGCCGAGCACCCTGCTGCTCTTTTGTCCTGAATTGACAGTATTAAAATGGCATGAGATCCAGTCTCAATCCTGTCTCCCTTTTGGCCCAGCTCTGTTGGCCAAGCCCTCTCCTTGTGCCTCAGGGACAGCAAGACAGAGGTTCTCTGTCCAGCGTAGGGGCCACAGAGGTCCCCTTAACTGATGTCTTCTGCAGGCATCGAAGGGTAGGGATTGTGGCCGCGTTTGATGGCGGCGAGAGAGAGTGTTTCTCCTTTGGATGTAGGGAAGCCGAGGACGATGCGGTACATGGAGTATGATGCAGAGCCTGCGCGCTCTTGCATCTCGTGTGCCAGTCCCAGTGAGCCCAGGCGTGGCTCTGAGTGGCGCACCACGGGTCTGTGCTGGGCTTGTGGGGAGTGCCCGGTGGTGTTGCCCCATCAGCTTCCTTTCCTTCCTAGGTCTCCATCTGCCGGGAGATGCCCAGCCTGGAGGTGATCACCCTCAGGTACCTACACACCTGCTGTGCTCTGAGTCACGGGGCTCGAAAGAAGAGGAGAACCTTCACATGCCCTTAGATAACCTGAAAACTCCCAAGGAGAGTGTGCCTGGGATGGCCGCTTCTGTGGGCAGGGCAGCCAGGCAGCACAGGGCCCCTCCGAGCTCTGCCTGCCCATCCCCCTCGAGCACGCTGCTGGGTCCTTGCCCGCCCTCCCCATGGTCGTGGGCACAGCCCCCAGCCCATTCGATGAGCGGCTGCCGTCACGTCTGCCCCCAGCGCCCCCACCGTTTCTGCCGTTTGGTTCTGGTGCCGCCAGGAGCTCTGCCGGTGTCCCTGTGTCACATGCTCTCTCATTTTGATAACCACCTCTTCCGGGGGCATTGGCATCTTAACAGACTAGGGAAGCCATGGACGAACCAAATGTGGCCGCTGGAATTTCTGGCAGTTGAGCAGTTTGGAGGGTCGGGGGAGGGAGCGTTGTCCTCTGCCCCTGCACTCCCTCCTGCCCCCTGGGGACCCAGGGAGGGAGCCTGGGAGTCGCCACTGCTTGCCAGATGCTGGCTCTCCCACTTTGGGCGAGGCTCAGATCTCTGGGCCTCAGTTTCCCTCTCTGTAACATGGACCTAATACCGGCATCTGCCCACGTGGGGGCAGTGAGGAGTGGGTGCAGGCAGGAAAACAGAGTGCTTGGTGAGCGTGCACGCGCCAGCTGTCTGTGTCACTGACTTGGTATCGGTGAGGCCGAGATTTGAGCCCCGAGAGCCTTCCCTGATGATTGAATGGATTGCCTTTCATTCCTGAAAATAGGTGTGGCTCGAACCCTGGCTCTACCCTGCCTGGAGTGATTTGGGGCAAGTTGCTGGGCCTCCCTGAGCTGCAGGATCTGTCATGCTCACAGCTCGGAGAAAGGACGGGAGGCCCAGGGTTGTTGACTGAGCTCAGGTGCCCGGTCTGCGCGGCTGGCTGCATTGGAACCCGAGTGTAAATCTCTGTGTGAACGCAGGGTGCACGTCCTCTCCTGGGTGCAGTCACTTCCCTCTGGTCTCAGAGCCTCGCGTGGAGGCGGCTGTCTAGTCTGTTCTGGCTGCTGGAACAGAATCCCGTAGACCGGGCGGCTTGCGGATGATGACATTGTGTGTCGAGCCTCTGGAGCTGCAAGTCCAAGGTGAAGGTGTTGGCATTTCAGTGTCTGGGGAGGCCCTCTTCTAGCTGGGTCCTCGCATGGCGGAGGGGGAAGGGAGCTCAGGGGGCTCTTTCATGAGGGCACCGGTCCCCTCCGAACCCCATCACCTTAGGGGTTAGGTTTCAGCATAAGAGTTTGGGGGGCACGAATACTCAATACCACAGTTAGCCCAGTGGTCCCGTTGGACGGCAAGCCGGGGTACAGGCTCGGATCTTCACGTTGCACCCCGGCCTGTGCCTCGGACAGCTTTTTCAGACTTGGAGATGGCAAAGCCTGAGTCCTGCTCGGGGCGCAGTGGCGTCCGCCGCACCCCTGGCTCTCAAGTGAGGCAGGCTGTGTGCTGAGCGCAGTGCTCCATGCCGGCAACCCCATTAGTAAGTGGGGCCGCCACTGCAGTGTTGTCTTAGGGACGAATTGGGCCATCGCTGCCCACACCAGTGCAGCCTCCAGCAAAGAATGTTCTAGATAGGTCTGGCCCTTGGGGCAGGGTCGCTTGGAGTGGCCCCACCTGTGCCCTCCACATGCAGGGAGTGGCAGCGGCCCCAGGGCTGCGAAGAGCACTGTCCCGGCCTGCACGGAGCTCCCGCCAGCCTCGCAGTCCTGGGCGCCTGCCCTCGAGCCGAGCGCGCGTTCGCGGGCCATCTGCGCTTGCGGAGGTGGGAAGGTTTCTGCTTGTGTCCGTGCAAGCCTGTAGGGTCTCTGCCTAGAGGCCTGGATGATTTTCTGTCCCTGATAAGTTCGCAATTCTGAGGAACAGAATGTAAACCCACAAACTCTGTTTCTTCCTTAGGCATGGGATTTGGGAAGTTGGGCGCTCAGTTCTGTGTCCCGTGGAGCTTGCTTGTGTTTGCTGTGGGTTTTTGTGGCCACTGCCTACTTTGGGGCACAGAGACGTTCCTTGGTGGCCGGTTTCCTGTCCTGTGAGGGAAAGTGAGACCTCCGACCCCCCAGCTGACTCCATGAGGCCTGCACCGAGCAGGAGGCCAGGGCGTTGCTTACTGCTGCTCATCTGTCCTTACGCTTTCTTCTGGGTCCGGGGTGTTTGTTGAACTTGACTCACGCTGTCCGCTTCTGACCTCCTTCCAAGGCGAGGGCAGATGGGCCCGACCCGGGGGCGCTCTCGCCTGGTGTTTGCAGCGGACCCGAGAGGAGTGGTGTGGAGGGGCGCCGCCCTCCGCGAGCGGGGTGCTAACCGTGCCGTCCCCATGCAGTGTCAACAGCGTCTCCACCCTGGAGCCCGTGAGCCAGTGCCAGCAGCTGAGCGAGCTCTACCTGCGGAAGAACCGCATCCCCAGCCTGGCGGAGCTTTTCTACCTGAAGGGCCTGCCGCGCCTGCGCGTGCTCTGGCTGGCGGAGAACCCTTGCTGCGGTCCCGACCCCCACCGCTACCGCATGACCGTCCTGCGCAACCTGCCCCACCTGCAGAAGCTGGACAACCAGGGTGGGTGTCCGGACCGCCCGGGGCCTGCACGTTCCCGATCCTTCCAGACGCAGCAGGGGCCCCCTCCCTGTGGTTTCGGGGGGAGTCCCCCAGGCCGCTGCTCCTCATTTCGCAAGTGTGAGCGGGTCCGACCCCCTGGGTGCGGCCCCACGCGGAGCGTGGGCTCGCAGGTGGGCTCACGCACGCTTCACCCCCCTCCTGCCTGGGCACGCCGTTGCCTCTGCTGCCTTGTTCCTGCTCAGAGCTCTGCTCCAGCCGCTTATCCGAGTGGCCTGGCGAGCGAGGGACAGGGTCCCAGCGGGCTGGCCGCGTCCATGCTGGCCCCTGGGGCCCTGCGGCAGGTGAGGGCGCGCCTGTGGCCCCCGCCCCCCCCAGCACTGGTCCCCCGCCGCTTGCCTCTTCCTGCTGGCGGCCCGAGGGGCCTCCCTGCGGCGCTGACCCGCTCCTTCCCCACCTGTTCCCCGGGGGCCCTGCCGGGTTCTGGCCACTGGCATTGCACCAATCCCTGGCCCTGGGCACGCGTGCACAGTTCTTTCCCCCAGAAAACAAGTGTCATGTAAGTCAGCGCCGAGAAATTAAGCCACGTGGCAGTGAAACGGACTCATACTGTGTACTCTGTTCCTTTTTAATGCTGACCTTAATTTGGCTTTTGATGAACACTTGCTTGTAGCGGGGGCTGGAATTGAGATTCATGTCCAGCACGGGCCGGGACAGGGAGGTGACAGGCCCCGGCCCTGCTCTCGGGGGGCCGGCCAGTGGGGCGGAGAAGCATGCCTCCTGTCTACGGCAGACTGTGCCGCAGCCCGGGGGCTTCTGTGGGGGCGAGTCCGCTCTGATGCTCTTGTCCCCCCGACTCCGAAGCCGTGACCGAGGAGGAGCTGTCCCGTGCGCTGATGGAGGGGGAGGAGGTCACGGCCCCCAGCGGACAGGGCACGGGGAACGGCGGCGGGCCTGCGCTGTCCTACGCCCTGAGCGCCACGGACACCACTGCTGAGACCCAGCAGGACACGCTGGGCTGTGGCCAGGAGGAGACGAGGTGAGCTGGCGGGGGCGGCGGGCCTGGCCCTGGGTCCTCCTGTGGAGTGATGGGCCTCTCTGGGGAGGCAGGGAAGGGAGCTGCCTGCGGTGGTTCCTTGCCGTCTGTGGCTCTCAGTCGCCCCCCAGCCTGCTCGCAGCTGTGCGTCCGGCAGGCTCGGGGCCCGGGGCTTGTGTGGGTACGGGGCCACCCTCGCAGCTGGAGCCGCCTGGAGGTGGGCGGGGGACGTGGGCCAGGGGCCTGTGGGCACCACGTGGCCCGGCACTGCGGTCCCCCCGAGGGAAGCCACCTGAGCTGCCGTGGGGTGGGAGGGCTGTGCGGCCCCGAGGGGGGCCCTCCCTGACCGCAGCACCGGGACGGGCCTGAAGCAGCCTCTGGGGGCAGGCTGTTTCTGAGCAGCCGCGGAGCGCGGGGAATGTAGAAACAGTCGAGCCCAGTGGGGCTCAGGCAGCGTCCACTTGGCAGCCAGGCCCGCCGTCCTGCTTCCCGCCAGCGCAGGAGGCCACCTGCGTGCTGCCCGCTGCTCTGCGTTCCCATTTGCGTCTTCAGTGCCCCCAACCCTGGTGGGAGCCCAGGTGTGGCGAGGGGCCCCCCGGGGCCCAGAGAGATCTATGCCAGGCCACAAATCCTCGTCCCGCCCGCCGTGCAGTGCTCCGTCCCTCCAGAAGCAACGTCACCAAGTGGCAGTTCTGCTTCCTTGCTCCAAGGCCCTGGGGTTGGAAACGGGGCCCCGAGCAGGTCCGGCCTCACAGCCCCGTGCTCCCTCTCCTACCCGCAGCATCCAGAGCCAGCTCAGCCTGAAGCCGCCGTCCCGGGACCGGTTTCCTGCCTTCTCACAGAGGGATGCCGCGAGCAGTCGCAAGAACAGGGTGAGCATGCTGGGGACAGCCCTGGCTGGAGGCGGCCGCCACTCCCACTGCCCAGAATGGGGGGGGTGCAGCTGGACAGGCTGCAGCCACCCAGGGCGCATCGAGCTGGGCCCCAGGGGGGGAAGCTGGCTCTGAGCTGAACTGGAAGTGGCACCCTAGAGGGGGCGACTGCCAGCAGAGAAGTACAACCCCGGGAGAGGAGACCCCAAACCAGCCTGCAGGCAGCTTGGGTCTGCCCCGCGTCTAGCCTGGGGCTGGGAGGGCAGCACCTGACGCTGCAGGGGGTGCTGCTCTCGGGGAGGCCTCCCTGTCCTGGCGGGGCGGCTTCCGGGGCACCATGGCTCCTGATGGTCCCTAGAGTGATAGGCTCAAGAAGCGGGTCATGTGGGCGCTTCCATCGATGATGCTGGACCTTTCCAAGCGTCTGCCTTCTTGTCATTCTGGTCTGTCCTGGGGCTTGTTCCCCTTCTGGTCAGTGGGCTGGCCATCTGATCCAGGCTCACACCCAGGGGGAGAGGGGCCATGTCTTCCCATGTGTGTCCTCATGGGACAGAAAGCGCAGCTTCCCTGTGGCCCCCCTCCCCAACCCAGCAGGGCTGGCTTCATCAAATGGAATTGCTCACATCCTGAGTGTGAGCGTCACTGGCCAGGAGAACGGGGTCACCACCGTTAGCTTGGCCCAGTGGGGACCTTGCCTCCTGGTCACGCGGGAGGGGTGCTGCCTGAGCAGAGCCGGAGTCTGAGGGAGGCCTGTGACCCGCAGCGCCTGCTCCCGACTCCCGGCTGCAGGGTCCAGCCAGAGCCATGGGACCAGCGAGACTCGCACTAGAGGGACTCCGCAGTCAGGGCTGGGGCTGCCAGCACCCCCTTGAGGAACTTGAAAGCTTGTGGGAGGCACAGAGGGGGATGGACAGAGGCCCTGTCCTTGGGAGGGGCCAGCCTGCACTCTGGGAAAAGTGTCCCCCCAGAGCTGCTGACAGAAGTGACTGCAGGCTGCAGGCCAGTGTAGGCAGCGGCCACTGGGCCTGTGGCCCCTTCGCTGCACAGGTCACCGTCCTCTGCACGGTCCGTGCACGTGGGTAGCCCCCCTACACGGCCCCGCAGCGGGTCAGCCTCTGCAGGCAGGGCCAGGCGCAAAGCTCCCTCCTCCCCACGCCCAGGCCTCTGCAGAGCACGGGGCGGTGGGGGGCAGGGGTCGCCCCAAGACTGAATCACTGATGAGCTCGGTGCGTTCCATATATGCAGGCTGAAAATCATCAAACCCCCTGGAGCAGGCAGAGCCGCTTCCGGGGACAGAAAGGAAGGCCCTGGCTCTACTTTGAATGTGGAAGTGGCTCGTCCTCTCACGGAAGGTCCTGCAAGCCTGAGTGGGGGGATGCGGATGGCCAGGGAGACCGCACCGGTGTAGGGCTGCGGGGGAGCAGGACCCCCGAGGATGGCTGAGGTCAGGGGTTAGCGCCATGGGGTGGGCAGGGGCTCTGTTGCCGAGCCCCAGTGTGACCCTCTGAGCGGCTGTCACGTTGCTGCCGTGTGCCCCTGCTCACACCCAGCTCTCCTGTCACCGCACGGGAAGAGCCAGCTCGAGTAGCCCCGTGTGCAGAATCCTCTCTTGCTCCGGTGTGGGTGGAAACCACACGCACATGCGTGACACACATAAGCACGTGTGTGTGTGTGAGAGATCACACGTTCCTGAGCGCTGTGCTGGCCGCTCAGCCCCTTCTGACCCCTGCTGTGTGGCTGGCTGTGTGACCGGGGGCCCATTGCTTGGCCTCTCTGGGCGGTCCCTGCAGGCGATGCCGCTCGTCTGCCTGAGCCTCTGTGCTCTGTCCGGGGTTGCCTGGAAGGCCGCTCGCCCGCGATGCCCGGGTCCGGGTGGGGGCGCTCAGCGGTGACTCTGTGCCCCCAGAACAATGTGCTGACCGCCGTCCTGCTGCTCCTGAGGGAGCTGGACCCCGAGGGGCTGGAGACCGTGCACCAGACCGTGGCCAGCCGGCTCCAGGCCCTGCACAAGCAGCACCTGCAGGAGGACGTGGAGTGACCGTCAGTCGGAAACCCGAGCTGCCACGCCTTCCTCCCGCAGCCCCGTGCTCAAGCACCTGGGAGACGCGGGGTCCCTTCCGTGGCCACGGCCCCTACTGCACCCCAGCTGAGGCCCAGCCTGCGGGCTGTGTCCCAGGAAGCTCAGGCCTGCCTGGGGAAGCCAAGCCCTCGGCGTGGATGGCGCCCCAGCGAGAGCAGGAAGGGCGTAAGGCACTGTGCCGGGTGCCCTCCCTGCCCGGGGGCCAGGTGCACGCCGGCCTGCGTGGGGGGCCCACCTGGACTTGGCTCTTCCTGAGGGGGCATGGCTGCCGCTGTCCCTAATAAATGTCTTACCAAAGTCCGATCGGGAAGCAGGCATTTCCTAGGGGACAGACGTGACCCTGACGTTGTTTTGAAGGTGAGGGCCATTGCTCACGCGCGTTTCTCCTGTCAGTTCTCTGCCCCAGTTGTGGAATAGACTCTGTCCGCCATGGCCAGCTTCCAGAATGGTGCGGTCCTTAGAGTGGCTTGGCATCAGCAAGCTGCTGATGCTGGCCGCCACCAGGGCGTGTCTTGCGGCTGGTAGGGTGGCGGCAGGGCTGGAGAACGCACCTTCCTTTTCTCTCTGCCTTTTTGAGAGCCCGCAGGGCCAGGGGTTTGTGCGGACGGGTGGGAGAGGCCCGGGGTGGGGGAGGACGCCCCAGGGAGAGCCGCAGGCCTTGCCCTGATGGTAGTGCCCCCCAGCAGCTGAGGATGCCTCCTCCCTGGGCCGGGGAGCGCCGTGGCCTCTGGGCCGGTAGCGGGTCTGACTGGTGCTGCTGCGGCCGGGACAGGAGTGGGGTTGCCTCGCCCCCGCTCCGGTGGATGGGGACCCACACCTGGGTCATGTGTGCGTCATGCTAGCCGAGGGGTGACTCCTGCGCCGTGTGCAAGAATCCAGGCGGGGCGGCCATGCCCGGCAGACAGTGCTGCCCTCAGAGAGGCTGCACTCAGGCCAGCGAGTTTCAAACAGCCGGGGCCCAGGGCGGCTGCTGGGCGCTGGGTGCCGGGCCCGGGCGGGTGGCTGCTCTCTGGGGCATCTGTGGTTCTCCAGGAACTGAGTGGCAGAGCGAGGCGTCGCCGCGTGTGAGGGGTGGCCGCCCGGCCATGTGTGCGCTTTCCGCCGTATGTGGGGACGGGCGTCGGACTCTCAATAAAGCGTCTGAGAGCAAGCTGGGGGTGCTTGTGTTAAATTGAGAACTCTCTCCCTTCCCCCCCCACCTGGCGGGGCTCACACTGACTTCCCACCTGTGCCATCACCTGGTGCACCCCAGCTAGGGACCTTGGATTGGCCACCAGGCTGGCTGGGCCCTGAGCACCCCACGGCTCTGCTCCCACCCGGCGGCCGGGGAGCTCTGAGCTCGGCGGGAGATGCGCTTCGAGAAGAGACCAGGGGTCTTTGCTGCCGGCATTCTCCACAGACAGACACATGGGCTCCAGGGCTGCCCTGGGGAGCCCGGGGTTTTGGGGGGCCGCGCCGGGGCCTGGGGACAGCCCGGGCTGGCCTAGTGTGCTGCCAGCACGCATCTGAGGAGTCCTGTGCAGCTGAGGGAGCGCTGCCCCGGCCGGGAGTGGACGCCCACAGCGGCCTCGCCGAGGGCAAGCGGAGCTGGGCATCCACGTCCCACGAAGGGACTTGTTTGCTGGCCCGCGCCGCCCGCACCCCTGCATTTCTAGTGTGCACTCGGCCAGGCCGTGACCAGCATGGGCACACGGGACCCCGCACTTGCTGGGTGCTCTGTCCCCACATCACGTAGCTGGATCTTAGCCGCTCCCTGGGAAGTCGGCCGTTCAGGTCCTGCAGGGCTGTCCAGTTTCGTGTGAGGAAGAAATACTGCTTGTGCGTGAAGGGCTGAGCTGCCCATCATGGCGGCACACTCGGGAGGCCGGTGGCCGCGGTTCTCACCCAGGGAGCCCACCTGCGCCCTCCCCTTCCAGGGGCTGGCGGGGTGGGGGGAAACCTGTGAACGCTAGCCTGGCTGATGATGTAGCGTCCACATCACCCCCTTCCAGATGTCCTCAAGTAGGAAAACCGGACAGGTTCACTACACCTGCCCATGTGCCCGACAGCTGGGGGTCCCCGTGGTGAGCGTCCTCAGTGGGCCAGCCGACTGAGCTCAGCGGGGGGGCCTTGTCAGGGGCCTGGGACGGCGCCCCGATGCCTGCTACTGCCCACCCCCTCCCTGCATGCAGGCCCTCCGGAGACGTGCTCCTGAAGCCCTGCCGTGAGCACGAGCCTCTGGGCGATTTCCCAGAAATGCTCTCCAGCGCTCCCTCGAGCCCTGTCAGCAGCAGAATTGTCGAAACATGTTCAATCTGCCAGACACTGAGGACTCCTGCTTCGGTGGATGCTTCTCAGGGTCCTGGTACCCCGGTAAGATTTACTCACAGGCTTCGTTGCCCAGAAAGCTTGCAGAAGGACCTGTATTCTCCAGGGCTGAGATAGTCTGCACACAGCGGCCCGGGATGCAGGGATGATGGGACAGAAGGATGCGTTTGTGGTCGCCTGCATCCCAGAGCCTCCGGCAGCCAGCAGGCCCAGGGGCAGGGGGCCAGTTTGCCCCGTGGGCCACACCCTCCTCCACACAAGGGACGGTGGCTTCGGGGAGCTGCCCTCCAGGGCCGCCCCGTGCCTTGGGGTCAGCCGTCCTGGTGGAAAGCTGGCTCTGGGTTCAGCTGCTCCCCCTGCTTCCCAGCAGGCCAGCCTCGGCCCAGGGGTGCTGAATAGGGGCTGGGGAGCCGTGGGGACAGGGCTGCTTCACAAGGCAGATGGGATTACTGCTCTGCTTTCTGGACCGTGTAGACACCTGCCCAGTGCCCCACTCTGCAGCAGACCCCACTGGCCGCTCCCAGGACCCTGCCGCAGCCACAGGCAGCCAAAGAGTAACGCTTGCTCCCTGGTTCACCACATCCTGCGCCCCTTTCCGCAGCCACGCTCCCGAGGCCCGTCTTTGGCCTCACACGCCCACGCTGTTCTGGACACCACCTCAGCACACGCCTTCCTGCAAGTGAGGCCGGGGCTTGCTGTCTGTGGGGTTCTCAGGTGGCCCCAAGGTCCCAGATCCCTGGCATGCACACCCCATATGACCCCCATGCCCAAGTAGGGGGTCTGTGAATATGATGGATGCCCTGCATATATGGCCAAGGTGAAGGAGCTTCACAGATGTGCTTGAGGTCCCTAACCGGCTGCCTGAGTCAGTCAGAAGGGAGATTGGCCTGGGTGGGCTGGGCCTAACTGGGGAGCCCCTGCGGCCCTCCTTTACAGGTGCCCACCGATCAGGGCTGAAGAGGGCGTGGGCCTTCTGTCCCTGAGCTCAGAGACTAGAAGCAGCAGATGTCCACTGCCGCCCCCGGAATTCAGCCACCAGGCAGCTTAGAAGGGCCTGAGGTCCAGGGGAGTCCGTGCCCGGCGGACACCTCAGTCATGGCTGTTCATGAGCCAAGGACCCACCTCGGCTGCGCCCACACGCCTGAGCTACTGTGAGGTCACAAATGGGGGTGTTTGAACCCACCATGTTTGTGGTGGATCTCAGGAAACCAGCACGGTCTCCATGTGGGGAGCCGAGTCCTGCGGGAGCTCCAGCCCACAGCAGAGCCCCTGCCCACCCCCAGCAGGCCCCTCCAGGCATGGCCCGCCGCCTGCCGGCCCCGCCCGCCCCCCTCTCCGCGCAGCAGGGACCCGCCGAGGGCTCTCTCCCAACCACATTGTGCGTGTCCGGGTCCACAGGCGGCTCATCGAGGCCTTGGCTCTGTGCTCTTGGGCCGGTGGCTCCCGAGCAGACTCCACACAGCGTCCGTACACAGCGTGGGACACAGAAGCCTCCGGCATTTGTCCACAGCCTCCCTGGGTTGTGATCAGAGGCCCACACACACGCCGGGAACGCAGAAGCCACTTGCAGGGGTCCCGCGCCCGCCAGAGCGGCCCTGCCCTGGGCTGGGGCCTCCCACGGTGGTGAGCCCCTGACCCTCAGGCGCGGTAGAGAGCACGCTTGTCAGCGCCCTGTGGCCAGGCGACTGGTGCCACCCCCACCCTGCTGGACACCCCACATGCTATGTCCTCGAGGATGAGCTGGAGGGCAGAGCCCACTGGGCCTGGGGTTCAGGGCCTGCGTCCCAGCCTGGGATGGCCCCAGGACAGCCAAGCCTTGGGGGCTTCCTCCAGGACGAGCCCCGCTTTGCTTGGGGAGCCAGGGCCTGGCTTCAGGGAGGGGGTGTTGGGACAGCAGGGGCCGGGCCCGGACGCCTCGGCCTTCCGCCGCAGGCCCCGGCCGGTGCGTGCCCCGCCTCCCAGGCTGTGGCATGGCGGCCGTGGCAGGCGGGGGAGGCCGTGCTCCAGGAGGCAGAGGCCATCTCCAGATGCCGCACGCTCAGGCAAAACCAGTAAGAACGTCCCGCAGTTAGGCTCCCGAGGCTCCCCGGCTCCCTTCCCCAGGCCAGGCCCTGGGTGCCCTGGGAGGCCTGACCGGCACTGCGGGGGGCTGGGGGGCTGGCGAGGGAGGGGTCAGCACGGAGCAGGGCCTGGGCCAGCCTGGCATCTGGGCTGAGTGCGGCTGCGTGCTCGACAGATGGACACGTGGCTGTACACTGGAGGCTGTTTCTGCCACAGCCAGGGTCCTCCCAGGGAGTCCCCACCTCTGAGCCGCAGCCTCCCCACTGACACGCGTAAGCACACACGTGTACTCACCTGTACACACGTATGCACTCACGCACACACTCATGTCTGCACTCAGGCATGCACACATATGCACGCATGCACTCATACACACGTATGAACTCAGGCATGCACACATATGCACTCATGCACGCACTCATAACATGTCTGCACTCAGGCATGCACACGTATGCATGCACGCAAGCACACTCATAACATGTCTGCACTCAGGCATGCACACGTATGCACGCACTCATAGTATGCACTCAGGCATGCACACGTATGCACTCACACTCATACACACATATGCACTCACGCACACACGTATGCACTCACGCATGCACACGTATGCACTCACGCATGCTCAGGCATGCACAATGCACTCACGCACACATACACACATGCACTCATGCTCATACACATGCACGCATGCACTCATGAACACATGCGATCAGGCATGCACACATGCACTCATTCACATATGTGCACACGTATGCACTCACATGCACACTCAGGTTTCTGGGACCCAGGAACTAGTCCCTGGTCTCTCAAGGTTCAGACACTTGGGACCCTCTCCTTGGGGAACTGTCCCCTCCTCGGCCTGCCCCAGGAGCACCCACACTCGTGGCAGGCAGAGTAGACCAGAGGGACCCCAGCTCCAGAAAGCCCTCAGGCTCGGGGCCCATACGGTGAGGAGGGTGGGGTCCCCTGGCCTGGCCCCCACCATGCCGGCTGCTTCCTTGGAGTGACCAAGGCACCCTGCCAAGGTCTTGGGGACGTGAAGGCAGCTGGGAGGACAGAGGGCCCCAGCCTGGTCCCTAGGCCCAACCAGGAGATACCCTGCCAGGAGCCCCTGATGCGGCCTGTGAGCCCCCAAGGCCAGGGGCTCCCCACAAAACCTCATGGGTCCCAGACCCTTCCCCTGAGCCTCTGCAGGTGCCAAGGGCAGGAGTGCAGGCCAGGAGCAGCCCTGGACTGAGTGTCCAGGTAACGGCGGTGGGAACAGAAGTGGATCGTGCGGCGAGCTCAGGAGGGACGGAGGTCCCCGAGAGTGCAGATGGTGTTAGGTCCAGCTCGTCCTCCCGGGGACCCTGGTGCCGGCACCACACTGCAGAGCAAGGCTCCATGCCGCCCCCAGAGCTCGTGGTGCATTGGCCCTTGGCTCCCAGTGGTGACGGCATTTCTGACGGCCTCCCCCCGTCGCCCACCCCCGACCAGGGTCCCCCTGTGGTGCTTGCTCACATCAGCCACTTGCCCCAAATCTTTGGCTGTTTCTGAGACCCCAGTCCAGGCAGTGTAGGGAACGTTCCAGGTCAGACCCAGGGCCTGGAACCAGGCTCAGAAGCCCTCCCAAGACTGGGGGAGGGCAGGCCCGTGTGTGCAAGCCAGGGGCTCCCACCAGGCGCCCACCCTCCTAGGAGGTTGCCCAGGGCCTGCTGTCCAGAGACTGGCCACACTCCACAGTCGGGGTGATTTTATTTCTAGAAAAGGTGGCAAGCTCCACGCTGCACGGTGGCCAGTGCGCACAGAAGCAGGCGTGGCGAGGCCCACAGGGAACAGCGTCCCCACACAGGTGCCCCCACGGCCCCCGGATCAGAAGGTGGGTGTCCGGGCGGCTCCGTGTTGTAGGAGAGCCCAGCGGGCGGCGTGGGTGCAGCCAGGGCCGCGAGCGCCCCGGAGCCAGACCGAGAGGGCCGCAGCCCTGCCTGCCCCCGCCGGCCCGCCCGCAGACTCCGGGGAGGGAGTGGGGGGGCCGGGAGAGGCAGGTACGGCCGCGGCTTCAGAAGCCCTTGTCGATGCTGAGGCTGCGGCGGGTGACGTGCTCCAGCTCCCCGGACACGTAGTCGGCCATGCTGATGCGGTAATGCGCCAGCATCTTCAGCATGAGCCGCAGGTTCAGCCACCACTGCTCCCGGGGCATGCGGTGCCTGTGGCGGGGCGGGATCGGGGCTCAGGGGCAGCCCCCCGGGGACAGCCCCGGGGTGGCGTCAGGGCCATCCCTCCCGCGTCTGCCCCCAGGACGGGCTCGGCACAGGCTGGCTGGGCGAGGGAGGCGTGGGGATGGCCCGGGGCATGGGGACGGGCGGTCCAGCGCTCTCTTCAGAGGCACTCACTCAAAGTCCGTGTCCTTCTTGAGCTCGGTGACGGGGCTGAAGGCCACCGCCTTCTTCTGCAGGCCGATCACGCAGGCCGAATCGGGGGCGTTGGCAAACACTCGTCCTGTGGGCACAGACTCTCGTTGGCAGCCCTGAACCCTGGGCCCTGGCAGAGGGCAAGGTCAGGCCCAGGGCCACCGCCCCATCCTGCCACGCACCATTGCGGTAGACCGCCCGCAGCTTCTCCGACATCCAGAGCATGGCCTTCACCCCGAGCTTGGTCCCGTAGTTCCGGTCAAAGGGGGTCGGAGCACCGCCCTGGAAACGCAGCGGGGGAGGAGGCAGGTGGGCGCTCCAGGAGCCCAGCAGCCTGGCCCCACCGTGACCTCAGGGAAGCCCCCCTCCCGGGCAGCTTCTGACACCCCGTGCCCTCCCACCCCCCTGTATTTCCAGTCTGTTCCTTCTTTCTCCACCCCAAATCCGGCCAGAGAACCACCTCCAGAGGCTGGCGGGTGGGCTGCCTGCTCATCCAGTCGGGTGGCCTCCGTGGGCCCCCCATCGGGCAGGCGCGGCCCACCACCAGCAAGCACAGACTCCCCCAGGGAGGGGGGCCCTCCCTCCGTGGGCTGGGAAACCACACAGCTCGGGCTCCCTGCAGGCCCACAGGAAGCCAAGCACGGAGGGGGCCGGGCCTCGCCCTCCGCACCTGCGCTGAGGGATGAGGAGCATGTGGCCGGGTGCACAGGGAGGGGCCCTCATCCTGCCAGAGCCTCCCGACCCCGCAGCCCAGGCGCAAACGGGGGCAGAGGCCAGCACCCGCCCCCCCGCCCATACCTGCTGCAGGTGGCCCAGGACGTTGGTCCTGCAGTCAAACACGCCCTTCCCCTCAGAGGAGTACAAATTATACAGAAACTCCGTGGTGTAGTGCTCATGGCACTTCTCGTTTCTGGAAGGAGGGCCGGGCCTACGTTAAGTGGGAGCCGGCTGGGGTCTCGTCCCAGACACTGAGCCCCCACCGGGCCGAGCCACAGACCAGTTCTGGGAGAGGGCACGGTGCCCCTGGAGAGGCCTGTCGGCCTGGCTCTGCCCAGCTGCCCCTCCACAGCAGCCCCGACCCGCAGCCTGCGTCCCAAAGCCCCACCGTGGCTCAGGCAGACCCCCTCCCGCCCGGCCCATCTCCGGGCAGCCTCACCGGAGCACGAGGCCCCTCTGGATATCGGTCTTCATCTTCTCCGTCATGTGCTCCACATTGGCCTGAGGGCGCGGGGGAAAGGCAGGGTGAGCCGGGAGTCAGCCGGCTGTGAGGGCAGGAATCCCCCAGGCCGGCCCACCCTGGAGCCTGGGTGCCCCGGGGACTGTGAGGAGGCCTGCGGGCTGCAGCTGGTGGTGGCAGGGCCCCACTGAGGGGGCCAGGCCAGGAGACCATGGCGGCCGAAACGCAGACACAGGGTGGGGGGACTGCGTGTGCCTTAAGAGGGGACCCCACTCAGCCCTGCCGGGGGGTCTGCAGTGGGAGACGGGCTCGGGGCTCAGCTCACTTTCAAGTCTTGGATGTTGAAAGGGTCCTCAAAGACGTAGGCGGCGTCGGCGCCCACCGCGATGCCCGTCACCGTGGCCAGGTAGCCGCAGTAGCCCCCCATGGTCTCCACGATGAACACGCGGCGCTTGGTCCCCGAAGCCGACTGCTTGATGCGGTCACAGCTCTGGGGGACGGGGGCAGTCAGGACCTTCCCCGTGGGCCAGGGGAGCCACCGGTGCCCGGGGACCCAGGACTCTCCCCGGAGCGGACTGTGGAGGGGGCGGAGGCCAGGACAGCCCCGTGCCCCGCCGTGCCTAGGGGGTCACAGCCCTCCCCACGCGCTCCCCGCAGGGCCCTGTGAAGCAGGGTCCTGAACTGGGGTCACTGTGCGTCAGCAGCACCTACTGGGTGCAGGCCAGGGACGGGGCTAAGAGGCTCTGATGTTGGGCCAGGGAAACACTGGGCCTTCATTTTCTCATCTGTCAATGGGACCGTGGGGTCGTGGGAACAGGGGACCAGGTGACATGAAGTCCACATTCTGCAGATGCCAACAATGAAGTGACGCCGGACAGTTCTAACCCAAAAGGGTCAGAGTTTGAAAGGGAAATTATAACATTAAAGAACTGAGAAAAGAAAAATGAGACCAGTAGGTTACTGGGGTCTGAACCATGAGGTTAAATCCCAAGTAAGAGACAACCAGCAAAGTTGAGAAAACTGCTCCAGTGTTTGCCAAAGGATCAATATCCTACTTCTGTCTGTAAAGAGCACTTACAAATAAAAAACTCACTAAGAGAAAAATGGGCAAAAAAATAAAAAAGGTAACTTTCCATAAAATCCTCAAAAGGGCAATAAACAGAAAAAAGTTCAATTTCACCAGCGATCAGAGCATTCTTCCCGTCGTGGAGGCCAAGAAAACAGGACGGTGTTTGGTGCCGGTGAGCGGCAGGGGCCCAGAGCCCCCAAGGAGCTGTGGCGACCCACAGCCGGTGAGGTGGCAGGGGTGGGGGTGTGAGATCATGGGGTCTCCAGGTCGGCAGACTGGGGGGCTCCTATAGTCTCGTTTGTTCTATATGGATTTTCTCCCTTCTCTAGCATCACGCAGAAGCTGCTCGGGTCGGCCCGAGGCCCCCACACACGCAACTGCTGACCCCTTGGGGGCAGTGGGCTCACAGGGGGTCACAGGTGGGGTGGGAGAGCCATGGGGAGGCCCCCACGGGGCCCCAGGCAGGCACCCACCCTCCCACGTCCCAGCCGGGGGCCTGGGCTCTCCCGCGTCCACGCGCAGCTGGTCCACGTGCAGCTGTTCACTGGACAGGACCGTGGCCCACGGCCCACACGGGCATCAGCCCCGCTCGGTCAGTTCTGGCCCTGACAGCCCAGGGCCTCGTGCCGCAGGACCCAGAGCCACAGCCCTGCCTGACACCCAGGCGGCCTCCCTCCCCGCGGCAGCCCCCCGGGAGCCCGCCCCACGCCCACCCGCGTCCCGCCCGAGCGCGCACGGGGCCTGGCGTCCCACCTCCATGGCGGCGTTGACAGCGGTGTCCGAGCCCAGGCTGAAGTCGGTGCCTGGTACGTTGTTGCTGATGGTGGCGGGGATGACGCACATGACGATGCAGAGTTCCTCGTAGCGCCCGCGTGCCTCGACCAGCTGCAGCACCCCCTCGTAGGCCTGTGGGCGCACGGGCGGGCAGGGGCTCAGGGCCGCCCGCGAGGCCGGTGGGGCCGGGAGGAGGCAGGGCGAGGCGAAAGCGGGCTCCCAGGCCAGGCGTCCTCGGCCCCCCTCCCCAGCTGACCCGCGTGTGCCTGGGGCGGGGTGCCGGGACCCAGCTGCTCCCACCCCAGGGCCGCACGGGGCGGACCCCACCCAGCCGGCTGCGCAGCCGTCAGCCAGCGAAGCCAGACTCCGAGGAGGACAGGAAGGAGGCCTGCCCGCGCTGCTGTGACCCATCCCCGTGGTGCAGGCGGCAGGGGGCTAGGGCCCCTCCGGGAAAGGGCAAGAACGGGAGGTGTCATTTACGGGGGCTGGCTGAGCTCCAGTGTCACCCAGCGCGGGCTGAGGTGCTCAGACCTCCGCCCGGGAGCTGCACGAGGGACCCCACCTCACAGACGGGTCGGGCCACAGCCGTGAGGGGACGGACGAGGCCATGGGGCTCGCCGCGCCAGGCTGCCCACCCCCACCAGGAGCTGCTGCACCTCCCCCTGCCTCTCCCCTCCGTCCCCCTGCCCCCCCACCTCCTCCTTGCCAGCGCCCGGTTGCCGGCACCAATTTAAACTTTGTGAAGCCTACACTGGACCCCGTGGCCCCCAGGAGTCCGGCTGTGGCCCGTGGACTTCTCTGCACCCAGCAGTGGCCCTCACCTCAAAGCCACCGATGACCAGCAGGGCGTGGATGTTGTGGGTACGGACGTTTTCCACTATCTTCTCCATGTAGCTCTTGGGCAGCGTCCTGCAGGGGACACACATCAGACGAACATGGTGCAGCACGCCAGGCTACCAGGACCTGCATCCACACGGCAGCTGAGCGCAGGGGACGGCAGGCCCTGGACATGGTGCTGTGACGCCCGTTTAGAGACCGAGGCAGAGGCTCAGCGCCGGGGGGACCCGGAGTCCCGAGGACCGGCGCGGGAGGGGGTGCATGCTTCCTGCCGCCCGGGAGCCCACTCCCTGCCCGAGAGGATGCTCTCCGCCGGCGTGGGGCCTCCCAGGCAGCTTTCCCCGGCACAGTGACCTCGGGGCGCTCTCGGCCACCAAGGGGCAGGCAGGAGGGTCTGCAGCCCGCTCCAGGCAGGCCACCAGCTAGAAGTGGGGACCCAGCCCCTGGCCACGGGGCAGGAGTCCCCTTGCAGCCCCCACCACTCCTGAGCCTGCTCCCTGGGTTTCCCGCCCCCCACTGCCCACGGTGGCCAGGAAGCCCGGGCCCTCGGCCAGCAGCTCACCTCTTGGTCCCCAGCATGGAGCCGCCACGGCCCAGCCAGCCGGCCACGTCATGCCAACTCACTTCTTGTACCTGCAGGGGAGGGGGGCGTGCAGCCTCAGGGGGACAGGCCGGGGGCACTCACCCGTTCTTCCTCAGGTGACAGGTGTCCCCATCTGAGAGGGGACAGAAGCTGCGCCAGGCACTGAGCGGCACACTGCAGGTCAGAGCAT